TATGTCTTTTGATAAAAAAAAAGAACGACGCAACATAAGGAGTTTTGTCAAGTTGAGTGAAATCGATCAATGGTGTCGGAAACAAAAGAGAAGCGAAATCAACGTCAATCATCTATCTTTATCAGTCCTACAAATGTACATTGCTACTTCACTCACGATAAATCTATCTACTGTACACGTACGTTCAACAGAAATTGATTCGATTTTCAGTTCATCGCATGCAGCACTGAAATATACGACGCCGAAACTTTCATGACCTAAAAAGACGTTCATATGCAGATAGAAATATTAACAGTAACACTTTTCTTTAAAGGCTAATAATAGTTGACACATATATTGGCACATTTCTCAAATTATTTAATATAATTCGGATTTAGACGTTCACTCGACAATCTCACAATACTGATCGTTTATTTGAAATAAAAAGTTGAAAGGGATATATTTAACGCGAAAGACTTACGGAAGTGAAACCTTCGAGTGACAGGTCCATGACTTTCCCAGCCGTGATCGTCAATCTTTTTTGAGACCTGAGGATCACGAATAATAAAATTCGGCACCCGCTGATAGATAAATCATACCAAACTGCTTCGTATGCAGCGTCGCCGATGGACCTGCTCTGAAAATCCAAGGAACATTACCAATTACAAAATCGTGTGTATATTACAACGCTACAAAAGCTACTTGAGCAGATAAAAACGATTGTGATTCGATCGTATCTTAGTATGGATTTAGAAAAAAGAAACTCATGTTTTCATGATTGAAAATTTTACAATCAGCAGACTGACAATAAACGAAAGAAATGTCCTTACCTTAGTGCTCAGGTAATCGCCGGCGAAACAAAAAACAAACGCTTCTATAGTTACTGCGAGATACGGAATAATAAATTGTATCATTACTCCGGATTTACTCTCCGTGTTCGTATCTAAGGACTAAGTAATGAGATGTTAATTTATGCGAAATGAGATACGAGACAACAAACATTCAGAAAGCGTGCGTATTTTTAAATATTGTTGCACCAAATATTATATCGCATTCTGCTTGTATTCAAAAATTACACTGCATACATTTTTACACAAATATAATATACTAATAATAATAATAGTAATCTCCCGTAAATTTCAAAATTCGAAGGACATCTTTTGCAAAGGCTATGCTGTTGTAATAGCAAGCTTACTCACTATCACGACCATGAATCCAATAGAGCAGATAACTAAGGTGTTCCATATGAATTGCAAGAGCGCGAAGAACGAAAATAAGTTCTCGATATTATTCGACAGCGATATGATCTTCTGGTGTAGTCTGACGAGCGATTTCGTGGACGACGGATTGGATTTGCACGTGGAAGAGATGGTTTTCAACTCTTCACACATGATATCGATTTGCCCATTCACGTGAAGTACCTTCAAGTGAAAACTCAGGTTTTAAGCGACTTTCGCTCGAGCTCTCGAATTGACTCGAACGAAATCGTTAGTTAATCGGCTGCAAGGAGGACATTTTGGATACTGGGGACACAAATTAATGTCGTAACCAACACTAACGTACATCGATCCTTAAAGTGTAAAGCCAACGATCAAATAACATTCTCACGTTAATGGAAATATTGAGAAGCAGTTTCTTTCGAAGTCTAATGATCGTCGATTTGACATATACATCGACTTCTTCGTCAAAATATTAAATAAGATCGCATCTTTGGCATTCGTCAAATAAAAAATCAATAATCGAAGCGAATGACAATGATTATCAACGATCAAAGAATCAAAAAGTAAAAATTGACAATGATCAGTAAAAATTAATGAAAGTAAAAAATCAATGATCTTTTGATAATAAAATATCATTGATTCGTAATATCGTTAGTAGTAAAAACATCATTTCGAACATCATTTGAGGGTGTGACTTTATTCGACACGAACTAATTAAGTCAAGGATATCGTCACACCTGGACTTACCAACGTCAAAATCAATGCGTTCAACATCGCGACCACAGTCGCCGTTTCCAACACGTGAAAGAACAGTCCCACCAGCACGAGCTCGAAAGTGGGGGATTCTTGGATCTCGAACGGCAGCTGTACTTGCACCGGAATCTCACGATTCTGCCCGTTGCTGGAAACCATGCGATGCCGCATTTGGCTACCGATGAAATATAGAACGGTGGCAACGGCGTTGATGGACATAATAGCGTTGGAGTAACGATGCACCAAATTAGCCTTGTCGATCATCACGCACTCGCGCAATTCGCTCCAGTCGCTGGTGCAATCATTCCAGTCGTCGTCCATCGCGGCCAAGATATCCGCGAAGAATCTGCAGTCGATCGCTCATTTCCATCTTCAGATTNCATCTTCAGATCATAAAGGTAGAAGACCCACATTAACAGCCGAAACTTATCTCAGGTGAGACGCTTAGTTTCACAAATTCAGAGTTAGATATGTGCGCATGTATGGTGTGAATTCTTCAACTGAATCGCGCTTATAAATGTAACGCGTATATTACAATTTCAAATAAGGAACTCAATCGATCTAACTTTAAATTCGGACCTGAATATCTCACGAGGGACAAGTTTCAAGTAACGGCTGAATTAACACGGGTCGAGGACTCCGAGCGGATCTCGAGAACATCCGATCGGTCCTACTGGCGATTAAACCACAGGCACAGCAACTTCAAGATCGTCAAGGTGTATTGCAGGGTCATGCCCAGGCCGTCCATCAGTTTCGTGAGGTTGTTGAAACCCAGGTGCGCGTACACGTAGGAGTACTGAAAGTACTGCATCACCACGAGGCTCGCCATGTAAAGGATCCAGTAGAACGTGCCGTGCGAGACACCAGGCCACAAGCCGATCACACCTAGACCGATCTTCAGCGAGGGGCTTATCGTGCTCGTCGACATGGCAGCGGAACGGAACTTCGCGTTGTATCATCACTCCGGCGGGCCGCGCGCGTATCCGTTCCTGCGCAGCAAAAGCGTCTGTGCGGAAGCGAAAGTGTCCGCGAAGAAAGCGCGAAGGCTTTGATCTCTCGGTGTGACTTCGCGAAAGGCCTCCCTTTCTCAACCTTGGTGGGAAGGGAGATAATTTCGCGAGGTAAAGGTAAACCGCACATAATAGCGCGAGCAACGACGATCAATCGCAATTATGTGCATCCAGAGATACGGACGACCACACGCGACGATGTTATTAAATTGCAACGATAGATCTTGATGATTACAGCGCGCAAAAAAAAAGATACACGCCCGCGCAGTACGGTCGTCGCGCACGATGACGGTCGTTAAAAAGGCAGACGCCCCTAGTCGCCATAATCGGAGAGTTTCGTTTTAAACGGGAAAATAGGGAGAAGGAAAGCTATTAGAAGAAGCGAGGGACTTTGCGCTCTTTGTAAATTCTGAAAATTAGATCTTGCCCCCAAAGCGGTCGCGATATTACNTGCAGACGCCCCTAGTCGCCATAATCGGAGAGTTTCGTTTTAAACGGGAAAATAGGGAGAAGGAAAGCTATTAGGAGAAGCGAGGGACTTTGCGCTCTTTGTAAATTCTGAAAATTAGATCTTGCCCCCAAAGCGATATTATCGTCGGTCCCACGGTCGAATATTTATTTCAGCGCAGAGAATACAGAAAATAAGTCGTGGATAAGAGGATAGTAATCTGGCGAACTGCAATTTTAAGCGAGGAAATAATACATGTGTATTTATAGGATATGTACACGAACTTCTAGCGTTATTATTATACTAGATATTCACACAGCCGATTCTTCACGTCTACACTGCGAATTTCCGTTGAAAAAACACGAGATCGTCCACGCTCATCACCGATATACTAGGTGTACCGGTATGAAGTGAGCGTTTTTTTGTGAAATCAAAACACTATTTTTTAATGGGA